CACTCTGCTAGCCAAGTCGAATAAATCATGGAATTTCACTCCTTCAAACTTCTTACGAAGTTAAAATTTATAACCATTAACAGCCATTTTCACATACTCTTTTAGTGGTAAGGACAAATTGCATTTATATTTAGCCCTTCTAAATCTGGAAAGGAAGCTGATCATCGACTCTCCAGATAACTGATGAAGTCTAGAAAGATCTGTCATGGACACCTCAGGCTCGGTACTATAGAATTGAGTATGGAACAAGTCCTCCAATTGCGGACAACTTTGGATGGAGTTGACTGGCAAGTTGGAATACCACCTGAAAGCATAGCCAGTCAGTATATTTGGAAACAAACGTACTTTTAACCATGGATTGGTTGCTACTTCTCCACATTGGATAGTGAAACGGCTGATATGTTCCAATATGGACTGTTCGCCCTCTCCATTGAATGTTGTGAATTCTGGAATTCTGAAATTCCTTGGATACTCAACTTCGTTAATAAACTCCGGATAAGGCTTTCTGTATGTTGGTCTTCCATCCCTTTGAGTTAAGCCAAATTCCTATCGGAGGAATTCTGCAAATTGGCCTCTATTAAGTGTCATGGGCTGTGGAAGGTTGTTATATGGCCTCCCTTGAGGTTGGTTGACTGCTTGATGCCCCCCACCTGCCATCGGCAGTGGGTTGGCATCAAAAAGGTTATTCCTCCAATGGTTTCTTCCTCCTTGGTCCAGAAGTGGCTCCCTTGGAAAAGGTTGCCCCCCAACCGCAATAGGAATGGCCAAGTGTGGCCTTGGAGGTGTAGTAACTGAGGGCTAAATATTTACAGGTAGAATATTCTGCTGTTCTTGAAAAGTATGGTATGGCCACAGTTGGCCAAGCTGATCATGTCATGTCCACTGTGGAAATACCACAATTGGAAAGTTTTGAACTTGCTGAGTGGCTGGCATGGGCATTGATTGTGGAATGGTCATCTGTGCCATAGGAGCGGTCACATGTGCAGTTGGAATGTATGTCTATGAAATTGGAAGGGACTTCATCTTCTGCAGAGTTGGAAGGAATGAACCTACATGTTGTTGAGAGGGACTCCCTTCAACGAAAGTAGCCGGCCTGCTAACTTGGAAGGCCGATTATTGAGTCTTTTCAGAATTATTTAGCCGAGGGGCCATGGCTTGTGTCAGGTTTCCAATGGACTGCTCCAACATAGACTCAAACCTATGAGAAATTTGGTCTACCATTTCTGCTAGCTTCCGCTCATTAGCAAGAATGGCTTTTGCACGATCTTGACTAGCCTTAGATTGGTCTTGCGCAACTCTGGCTAAGTCTTGGGCGACTATTGTTTGGTCTTGCCCAAACCTATCTTGCTGCATTGCCATCATGCGGATGTTGTCCATGATGGGTCCATTTGCCATTTTTTGGGCAAAATTTTCCACCATGTCACTTTCATCAGGTGCAAATCGTGAACTTTCAGGTGGAAGTTCACTAGTTTGCAACTCTTCAATCTCGGCAGGGTCTTGGACGGATTGCCTTGCCTTCTTCCATCGGCCATTGAATAATCTGTCTAGATGTCCCATCGGGCGTGCCAATAATGTTCTGCTCGTGAGAAAGCGCTGGTTTCGCTCTCCGGAATGCGTGGTATAGTGGATAGTGGAATAGAATAGTGTGGGTATGCGGGCGTACTAGGAACTGCAGTAGTTCCAAAATAGATATCTGAACAGTAATCCAGTTGGAAATTTGTAGGGATCAAGCGATTGTACGAAGGTCTGGAATGACCACCTTCGAAGGGTTTTTTTGCCTTTGAACAAGGATTTCAAACTATTCTATGGCTAATGGAAATGAAGACGGTATTGAAATGCAAGTGCTGAAATTTAAAGTAATTGAAGTCCAAGACTTGGAATGTAAGAAAGGAAGTGCGAGTGCTCGAATTGAAGGCATGAAAAGCTACTTGACGAAAAGTAGTGAAAAAGAAGTACTAGACTTAACTCAAACATTATGAGCATTCATTGCTGAAATGAATGCTATATGGAATAGCAAAGTACTGGACTTAACATAAAAATATGTAAATTCATTGCTGGAATGGAAAATACATGAACTAGCAAGATGCTAGGTTTAGAAAGTATGTAAATTCATTGCGGGAATGAAAGGTACATGAATAGCAAAGATGTTGTATTGATGTGTTGTTTGGGCTGAGCAGACAGGGTTTACAAACTAGCCTTAAATGCTCTATTTATAGAGCTTTCCATGCATGCAGCAGCTTGATGTGGCAACTCCAGTGATTTTCAAGTGGCCAGTTTTCGGACAGCCAAGTGCCCCATGTTCTCTTGGCAGTCATAACTTATTTTCTTCTATCTCCTTTTTGCTCTTTATTTCCTCTGATGCACAACTTCAGCCATATTCTCCATAGTTTTCCATGAACTTGTATCGTAGGTGGTTTTTGGAATGAATTTTTCACTTGTCTTCTTCACAAATTGACACATGTCCCATATCTTTATATTCCTCTTCCGTCTTCCGCGAATTCCTTCTCCAATTCAGACACGATTTAATCATCTTAACCCCATCACCCATAATCTACGACAACTGTTTTCAGTTAGTGATAGTAGTTGCATGAAACACCACCACTTTCAACTGATGCATTCGTGATGAGTCAAGTATCCCACGTTCCTTTGTGGTCTTTCCTTCTGCAGAGTCCTTCCTTCTGTATAATTTCTATATGTATCATACATGTCTATAGAAATTATACATACATCCACGTTTCTTTGGCTTTAAGTAACCTCTTCTAGTTAGACTTTCTTTCTTTTCATGGCGTTGTGTCCTCCAAAATTATAGGGCTTCTTCTCATCGTGGGTTGGCATCTATATATATATACATATATATATATATGTGTGTGTGTGTATGTATAAATCGTGGATGTATAAATATATATACATCCACGATTTAAATCATTACCCATGTTCTTTTTCCTTTGCGACCCACACTTCCTTGACTTTGGTAACTTCTTTTAACCGAACTTCCCTTCATGGTTTTAGACTTTATGACGCCATGAACTCCTAAATTTCAGCGTTTTCCTCATCGTGGATTGGCGTCCTCAATTCCTATAACTTCCTTTCTTGAAACTTTCCTTCCAGGTTTAGAGTTTGTAACGTCATGGCTTCATTTCTGGAACAAACACTCCTTTATCCATTGTGGGCTGTTTAAATTTATATATATTTAGAAATATATTTTATATTCCTGGAAACAACATCCCACACCAGAAGCAGCCAACCGTAGGATTGATCTGCAAACTTGTGGTTTTGATTAAATGTGTGATAAGAAAGGTTTAATCCAATGGACTTAATTAATTTGATTGCAGATGGGATTGCATTCAGGAAGGGAACAAATGGTACAAAGATATGAACCGAATGATTGCTTATTACAAAGGACTCACCACATGAGGAAGATGGGTCAATCTCAACGTTGACCCTTCCAAAACCAAAGTCTTCTTTCAAGGGATTTCCCCACCCATTACTTGTAAGATATAACTCCTTCATGCATCCTCGTCTTTATTATTTAAATATACTCAAAACAACAATTAAATATAGGACATTTGTTATTCTACACAATCCGAATATGATGCTCTGATCAAACCAAGACTCAGCCTTTTATATATATATATCACTGTATTCGTGTTAAATATAGGGCTTATATATATCACTGTATTCGTGTTAAATATAGGATTTTTGTTATTCTACACCTTCGGCTTTTGTTTATATATATAAGGCTGAGTCTTGGTTTGATCAGAGCAGCGATAAACAAAAGCCGATGGTGTAGAATAACAAAAGCACTATATTTAACACGAATACAGTGATATATATATATATATATATCACAATGATATACTGTGAACTCCAAAGACAAACCACCACCATCAATACCAATCAAATACCCAGTTAAACGACCATTTCCTGCAGTTGTAAACTCAATACAGAAAAGAATCCGAAAGAAGAAATTCCAAAACAATAACCAGAGATGATGAAGATAGCCAAGGATGAAGACCACAATTATGTTTGGTGTTACAAAGAATACTGAATTGATCAACCCCAAAACAAGTTGAAGCCCACAGTTGCAATTGATGCTGCCGAAGTGTATCCAAATCGGTGTAAGGTGGGATCTACAATTAGTTTGATCAGAGAAGAATCGTTGCAACAAAAGGTGTGTAGTTTGCGATTCACAGACCCATTTGTGCTATTTTTAGAACAAATAGATCGTTGACTACCAAATCAAAAAGAAAGAGAAGAACAAAGATGATATGTGATTCTCTGCAATTAGGGCATCAATGTTAGTAGTGTGTTGGGGTTTCACGGTTGCAGTCCCTTCAGAAGTCAGGTGAAGAGAGAGAAAGAGAGAGTGAAAATTGAGGGTATTTAAGTCCTTTCAATTTTTTTGATATTTTAGAATAAAAATTATTTAAAAATTAAGGATAAAATTATCATTTTACATGTTTTTAACCATGTTATTGATAGAAAAATAGAATTGGATCTAAATGATAGTAATTTTTGAAAGACATTTTAATATAATATTTAGCCAAATTTAAGGATGTCAATAAAATTAACCCAAATGTATATATATATATATATATATATAGAGAGAGAGAGAGAGAGAGAGAGAGAGAGATTGATTGGCCTTGGTTATGGAAGGGCAGGAAAAGAACAATAACCAGAAGGACAAGGAAAAAGTGGCACAAATATATAAATGGGCTCCAAATTCATCAAAGTTAAATATGCACACAGGCACACCTGCAGAAGGGAAAGGACAGCATCTATATTCTATACTTCAGATTGTAACTTCCATGTTTCTTTTGAACCCTACTTAAGCAATCCTTTCCCTTAGAAAATGCAGTGATTAAAGGCGTTTTTTTTTTTTTTTTTTTTTTTTTTTTTTTTTTACAGTAATCAAGATACAACCACATAAAAAGCAATATCTTGCCGGAACATACTGGTGCGACTCATCCGAGTGCAAGCTCCCTGATACGATACATGTATAGTTTTACAATGTACATTGCTTTTATTTCCATAATCGTGTACATTTATCATAAGCATTTATCTTCGTCTTACAAAATGTTCAATATTTTGGATTAGGCATCTCAATACATGAATGAGCAACAATTTTTAATAGAATCGACAACCTGCTAGTGTAAACTAGATAGGATAATAATGTATCCATCTATCAAACATGTTGTAACATTCCCGGCGGTAGTACTCTGGAGCAGTGTGGCCAGCACCCTGTTCAAGGCCAAGTATAATTTCAAATAATTCCATTTTGATATTTTTTTTGCAAATCGAAGTAAAGAAATCAAGAGAATTTATTTTGTTACCTTTACAGTTGCATATGTCAAACGAAAACCGTTCTCTGAATACTTCTTTGTGTATCTGCATTAAGCAATCAGAGTAAACAGAAAAACTTATTTAACTACTAAATTAAAGGTAATTTTAAATGTGTACGAATACTTTTTACACGAAATTTGAAAATGGAAAATACTCACCCTGCAATTTGACCATCGACAAACCATGGCCTCCATTCACTCACAACAGTCAAATTGAGAGACGTTATCCATTTTACCGTGCCCACATATGGAACAACCAGGTCGCGGTCACCACTACAAGACAGAGAGAAATGTGTTTGTGAGCAAAGTTGGAATACATTCGACTCAGACATAAAACACATAGGAGACTGTATGTTTCTGATTTCTTATAATTCAGTTCATTTGATTTATAAGGAGTACCACATACGGAGTATATGACACACATTTATGTCCCTTTTTCGCCTTGTTCTTGAAAAAGGCTTAACTTAGCTTTTACAGTTAATTTTATAAAATTTGTGGAATTCATGACGACAATATATACTGTAGTAGTAAAGATTCACGAATTTCATGTTTACTTACCATTCTACCAGTACTTGTAGGCCTAATTTACTGAGTTCTCTATGAACAGGGACGACACTGAGGACATCTTTAGTGTATGATAGGCTCTTGTTGCACCTCTTCCAATTCCATACAGTCCCCTGATTGTCATCATAAAAACAACTCAGCCGAGATTTATTAAATTGTCTTCTTCACATCATTAATCAAAAGTACTTGCATACCTTCCGAACATGTAAAGCTTCTTGAACTGTGTCGTCATTCGCCCACGTGTAGGAGAGTGCATAATTAAAAGTCTGCAAAATAGGTAAACTGGTTAATAACTAGCTTTGTATGTTTCATGAACACTGTGATGAGAGAGAGAGAGAGAGTTACGCGGCACCAAAGGCTAGGAATCATCGGTGGTGAGAGTACGAAATCTGAATGGCCTTCTTTAAGAGATCTCCGATCCTGTTGTTCTTCTTGTTCCGGAGATGCAAAAGTACACTTGGGTTCTAAAATATCATTCCTAAATAGATCCTTCACACACTGCAAAGACAAAGAGTCACTCAACCTTTAAGCCTACTCAATTCGAAGAAGATAATATGTATACCGGAACTTAAAACCAGTAATCCCACTAACCTTATGGATATCACCAAGAGCAACTAAACATGCTGTGTTTGCTGGATCCACAGTTACATAGTTCTCATTACAACTTTTCTTGGCTGCCTGGATCATCATAAACCGTAACGATTATTATAATCATTTTTATGGGCTAATTTTTGACTTTGTGAGACAAAGATGATAAGGGTTTTCATTCATAACAAAAATTCTAGAGCCAACAGATAGAAAATGATAATTAAGCAAAGAAATATATAAATGAAAAAAGCGGAAGAATGTGGCTTTCACAAGGGATGTGTGTGAATTACCTCATACATCTCATCAGATATAAGTGCCATCCGGTGAGCAAATATAATTTTTGAATTTTCATCAATAACTGAATCTGTATGCGGGCTTCCAAGCAAATACCCCTGAGATCATTCCGAATAGCATTATCTATATAATCCGATACTATGATGTATTGAGAAAATTGAATAATACTGAAGGTAATTAATTCATGTTGTTAAATTAGATCATTTACTTTAAGATTCATAAATGGCTTGACTTTTTCTTTATTGCCTGCAAATACATAAACCAAAAGCCAAGCTCAATAATTAGAATTCAGAGGATAATTGGTTTCCACAAACAGAATTCATATCAAAGATAGTGGAAGTTAAGTTACCGTCCGTTATTTTTTTGGTGACTAAAGGGACAGTGATGCCTGAATAAGAATCACCACCAACAAATAGTTGAACATTGAGATATTTTGGGTTTTCGTTCAACCACTGCATCATCAAAAAATAAAAATAACAACATGACCGGCACGATTCATTGTCAATCAATCTAGATGAAACCTAGAATATTGAAGAATCACTATCATCTAGTTAGATTGTAACACCTATAGTCTGGTAGTCACCATTTTGATTAGGATTTGTGTTTGCAGAAGTTACGAAAATGTCAATAATTCTTCTAGTTCACCTTCTTGAGGAATTGATAGGATTGTTCTGCTGATTTGGAGTCTGAAGTAGGCCAACCTTCAGCGGTCCTTGCATAGGAGAAACCCGAGCCCACGGGCTGATCTAGAAATATTATGCTTGCAGTCTGGACAAGTATCACAACTGTTAATCTCAATCTTTTGAGAAAAATTCCAATAAAACAGCAATATAAAATGTGTTACCTTTGTCCAGGCATATTCATAATCTTTCAACTTTGGTAAACCCCCAGTATAGTTCTCAATGTCAAACTCCATTGGACCTACACACACACACACAAAAGGACAATTAATAAGGCTATTTTACCTCTGATATAAGAAGCAGAGCAGACCATAAATTTTTTCAAGAGGATCAACTTGATCCAAAAAAGGGATTAATAATTCACTAAAAGTGTCCAATTGAATTTTATCACGGCCTTCTCTCGTTAATTAAGATCCCCAAATGCCAAATAGCATTACGACTTTTTGGGAAAATTGAAACCCAAACATGTTCTGTTTTAACATTTTTTTTGAGATAGATAAAGTAAGGTCCGTGCTCATCTTGCTAAACAGTCGAAACTTTTTGGGGTATTGTATTGTATGTTGATTATTGACTTAATTTCTTCTAACAATCATTATAACAAACATGTTGCGAGCTAACAATCTCGTGCCACTGCAGCTAAAGAATGGTAGATATCATCATTTATTTAAGTGAATTGGAAATGCACAAGCAACTGTTTCAATTATTCATTGTTTATGGTCAACGAACACAGATCATATAAGTAGAAATTGATATGAGGCCTCATTACAGACCATCGTCATTCGAAAACCATGATACCAGAACAGAAAAACAATATTGTCACGATGCATAACTAGAAATTTTCATTAATGGTGGTGTCAAGACAGGTCTAAAGATAATAAAATCAAATCAAATTCCAAACAAACCCAGAAGCATATATATATATATATATTGGAATTTCCCAGAAGCATAATTTGCTACATTGAAGAGAAAGGAAAATGGAATTACCAATTTCATAAATAAGTCCATTGAAAGCAGAACATCCAGGGCCGCCAGTGAGCCAAAGAAAAAGAGGGTCCTCTTGAGGGTTCCCTTGTGACTCAATAAAATAATAGAACAGCTCAGAGTCACCAACACTGATGTATCTGTGTAAATTAGCAATAGCCCATCAAAATCACCAACATTCCCAACTCTACTCAACCAACATAACACTATATATATATACACACGCGCGCGCGCGCGCGCGCGCGCACACATACATACAGACAAACACAGTATATGCAAAATCAACCAAAAAATAATAATAATTAATTAATTAGAACTAACCCTGTTCTGTGCAAATTAACAACCACCCATCAAAATCACCAACATTCCCAATTCCACTCAAGCAACATAGCACAATATATTACCTTCCGAAAAAACCATAGCACTATATATATATATATATATATATATATATATATATATATATATATAATTTACATATTTACACGCATACACATAAAGACAGTGTATGCAAAACCAACAAAAATAAAATAAAATAAGACAGGGAGGCGAACTCCACTCTCATATGATTGTACTCCAATCTTAAAGGTTATAAATAATATACACATATAAGGTTATATAAATTAATTGTAAGACGATTGATAACCTCTTTTTTTTTTTTCTCTCTCTCTCTTTTGCTTTTGGTAAATAATAATTGATAACCTTATTTATGATGACATAACTAATGTTCTCTTTAATTATTTTTCCCATATCAATAAAAAGCACCAAAACTAAAATCATTATATTAGTACTCCGGCACCCTGGAAAATCCTGGCTCCCTGACACACAAACACAGTATATGCAAAATCAACCAAATAATAATAATAATAATAAATAAATAAAATAAAACTAACCCAGTTCTGGGCAAATACACATATACACACACATTACACACAAAATAAATAAATAAATAAAAAGAGACTAACCCAGTTTCAAGCTTGAAGGGAAGTTCACCATCATATCCTGGCAAGAACTTGACAACTTGGCCAGAGAAAACTGATGGTACTGAAAGTATCATTAGAAGAAGCAAATGGGCATATACCCATAAAAGAGAACTGAAGGACTTTGTTGGAAGCCGCTTCTGAGCAACAGCTTTTTCTCTTATGATCATACCTGAAATTCTAAGGACAAACTAAGTCAGTGTTGAGTAAAGATATGGAACCTTTTTTGTGTGTTTTTTCTATATGAGGAGAGAAGATATATATGTGATGAATGATCACTTTAGTGTATATATATATATATAGATATATATAGAGAGTACAATATAGAAAGGGTAACGGAGTCGTAGACTCGTAGCATGTTCTTAATTGGATGGTAGTTTTTTTTTTTTAGTTAAAAAATTGGATGGTAGTTGAATGAAGTCTTCTAGATCTAGTTGCGATGTGATGTCATTCGCGCGAGTTTAACTATTATTTTATAATTTTTATGTGTTTCTTTTTTAATTTTTTAAAAAATGGTTTAAATGCTACATGTCACAAACTGCTTTAAGAGAAGTAATTTGTTTATTTGTATCCTTCCAGTTGACTATTTAAAATATAGGCTTGATAAAAAAAAATAAAAAAAATTACGTTTTTTTAATACCATGGTGTATGGGCTAGTGTGGGGCTACTAACAAAGTAGCCACTCAATAATTTGATTAAAACATATTATAAAATAGTGATTTTTGGACATAAATTAAAAAGGGTTTAATTCAGTTGTCCAATTTTCAAAGAAATTTTTTTATATTTGTAAAAATTTAGTCAAACCCTGTGAAACATTACCAACAGACAAAAATAAATAAATAAATGACAGATATATTTTTTAAAATACGTATTGTTGTCCATGTGATGGAATACTCACCTTTTTGAAGAAAAAAAAATTTTGTTTTTAAAAAATTTAATAAAATTGAGGGTTAGAACTCCTTGAATCAATTTGACATTTTAGAGGAGTGCCGTCCATAAAATGAGAAAATGAATATACTAGAATAACATAATTATTAAAAGATTTGTTGTGACATATGATTTTTTTACAACACTCTTTGATAAAGAATTGACCCTTCATGCTCAAGGATTTTTTTTTTTTTTTTTTTTTTTTTTTTTTTTTTCAACAAACTCTCACACCAATTTAAACTTAAAACCATCAAATGAAATACAGTCTTTGATGACGTCCCCCCTCAATTGTAATTCTTGATTATTTCATGCACTATTGCCATGATTTAGGTTCTCTAATCCAATTATTTGGTTTTGATCTCGATAGAACAATAAAATTTCAAGAATTTGGTTTCTTTTAAAATTAAAAATAAAAAATAAAAAAACGGAAAAAACCTTTCAACCACGAAACATTCGGATTTATAATTGTAAAGTAAATCTCAAATATGTACTATCAATCACATATCAATAATTTGTGTGAATAATTTGTGACCTCGTAAAAGTCGAGGTTTTGAGGATTTATTTGACATGTTTGTTTTTTAGTGCATGCCTGTTTGATTTTTGGTTTATTGTGGGGCAATGAAAATGAGGGCTATCTAACCAAAAGATACCCACGTGGTTTTCTTTTACAACCAAAAATTTTAGGTGAGAAACGTGAACACTAGTTTTTTTTTTACTGGTTAAAACGTGAACACTAGTTTGATGGACACTAGTTCGTTGTGCACTCGTATGTCTGAGATGAACCCGACAGTATGTGAGACCGACTGTTTAATTGATTTAAAACTCCAAAAAAATAAAAATAATAATAATAAAAATAAATAAATAAATAACTAAATTTTATTGAGTTTCGAGGGGATCACGTGTTGCGCTAGTTTGGAGTGATATCTAACACTTAATGCTGTCATAAAGAGACTTTATTATGATTTGCTAGCAGCAAGCGTGAATAAGAGACCCTTCAAAGAAATAAGACAAGCGTGAATAAGATCCTTCAAAAAAAAAAAAAAAGAGATAAGCGGAGTAACTATACACCAAATAACAGGTTTTATTTTTTTTATTATTATTATTATTTTGATAAATAAGAAAATTGAATTATATCATAAAACAATTACTCCCTTCATCCTCAAAAGAAAAAAAAAAAAAAAACAATTATTATTGTTATTATTATTAGTGTTAGTGTTAGGGATGAATTTTCAAATTCCACATTATTTTATAATTTCACACGGTGGTTAAATTAGGAATATTAAAAAATAGTATTGTTTAAACCTTTCACTTTTCAATGGAAGGTTGCCCGAGTGGATGACAACATAAGGTATTACCACTTTTCACTAAAAGTTACTATTTTTTAGAGATTTTGACAAGAAACCAATCAAAATTGAACATGTGACTTATTAAAAGGGCTACACCTATGGCTATTTGCACCATAGTTATCAATTGTTTTTCAATGGAAAGTTGTGGCCAATTCCAATAGAATGGTGATATGTAGATTTAGATGCAACCATAAAGCAACATGTGAATTTATTTGAGAAATCCATCTGATAAAGTAACCACCTTAGGACACGTGACAGCTAAGGAAGCAAGCAGTTATCTTCAAGTAAAAAATCGTGAAACACGTAGTAGTCAAGGAAGCAAGCAGTTAACTGGAAGTTAAAAATCATAGGACATGTGGAATGCAAAGAGGTAAGCAGTTAACGATTATTCCAATGGAACGTACAAGATTCCAATGAAAAATCATGTGGATAAGTAATAGAAATGGCAGAATGTGGATTACAACATGGCTACAAGTTGAGCACAAAACCTAGAAACATGGGACACGTGGAGGATTTCCAATGTAAATGCGGTTATTCCCGGCCACTGGAAAATCATGTAGAAAATAGTAGAAACATGTAAAAACATGGTCCCGCACGTGTAAGCACTATAAGAAGGCCAAGGAGTACGTGGGACACTCAGCAAAATCTGGTGAAATCAATGTAACTGCCTATAGTAATTGCCATAAAAAAATTCTATAAATAAGGCACTATGTTGTAACTTTAAGGGCCTGTTCAACACACACAATAACAGTACTTCAATTATCTTTACATTTTTGCAATGTACTTTAATTTTCTTCACTAATGCAAATTATCTTTCAGCACTTTACTTTCCAAGTCATGCATATTCAATTCCTTACTTTCAGTCCAGCACTTCAATCTTTTTTCCTTCTAGCCATAAGAGAATTTCGAAGTCCTTTGTCACTAAAGGCAAAAACGAACATTTTGAGGTGGTCATTCCAGACCCCTATTCAGTCGTCTGATCCATTCCATTTCCATGTAGAATATAGTTTGGACATTCAATCGGAACTTTCTGAGTTCCCAGCACGCCCACACTTCCGCTAGGCCAGAAGATTTTTTGCGAGCCAAACAAGTATATGGTTTTTCAAATGAGATAAAATTATTTGGGACAGCCAAAAATGAAAAAATGGACATTTTTTGTAGGATAGAGGGAGTACAAGTATCCACGAGAACATTCCCTTGGACAAATTAAAAAAAAAAAAAATACTTTAATAAAATTGCTATTTTTAAATATAGTAACATTGTATTAAAAGATATTATTGTAAAATAAACACTAGGAGTGTTTTAAAAAAATATTACTCATTACCAAATTGATTTAAAAAATACTTTATTTGTAAAAGTAATTTATATAATGTGTCACCAAACACCTAATATATTTTTTACTTAACCTAGGAAGCTCTATTGGTAAAATAAAAACAAAAAAGAATTCCAACACCTCCACTCAAGGAGAATTTATTAAGTGTACGTGCCCGATGTACTGTGTACCGGGCCATCACAACCATCCATTCCCGCACGTGTTTTAACGATGTGTTCCGAACACATTAAATACTTCTCCCATTCAAGGATGAAACCAAAAATCCAATAGGATGGACATAGCAACAAAGACAGACCAACCATTTCAGCACACCATGCAACAAAGGGGCCAAAAAAACTCACAACAACAAAGATCTGAGAAAAGACATAAGCCAAATAATCCAAACAATAGAGACCATAACCAAACTAGTGTTCTCGTTTATCACATATCCAGGGAAGCCTCTCACATGTTGCTGAAGCCTGAAATTGTCTAATAATATATAAGAAAAGCTTAAATGCTCCGTCATCACACACTAGTTATACCTGTTAGACCGAGTAGTTGCTGTTTTTTTCTTTTAAAATAAAAAAATAAGAATCTCTAAATGAGAAAAACCTCTAAATGGCCCAATTATCAACCATAACCAAATTTATTTTCAATTATTTAGAGTTCACTACATGAATTCCATATTTTTATTTAGCTCTATTTAAGGCGCTTAGTAAAAAAATGCCCCAATTGTAAATGGTTCAGTTATCCAATTTAAAGAGAGAGTTTGATGGTTTTTCAAAGAATAATATTTGATTGTTAATTTATTATAACTTAATATTGTACCAAACAATAGATGAATTATACATATACTTTTTCGTAACCAGCATTGATTCCAAGAAATTTTATAGTAAAAAAAAAATAGGGCATATAATCAATTACGTAAAACATTACATGAGACCCTAACCAAAAGAAATATATAAAACATTAGACGAGAGTTCTGATTTATTGGAAAAAGGAAGCGAAAAAACAAGGAAAAAATTAATTAGATTATTAGAAGGCAAATTTCAAATATTTACATAAAACTGATTGCATATGACTAGGGCATGAAATAAATCGGATTTGACACTGCGTACGGCAGAATATTTTCCTCGAAAACAAGTCTACATGGTAAAATCCCTCCACGATGTATCGAATCTATCTGGGTCGTGTAAAATAACTTGTCGAAAATTGATGAGTAAATTTATTTTATTAGGTTTTAATATTTTTTTCTTCGTAAATATTTTACTACAACCAAACACAAAAAAATAAAAAAAATATTTTACATCCAACCTAAATTTGATTTGATTGTGAACTTTAATTTCAAACCAAATTATTGAAAGGAGCCACATATGAATATTCATTGGAATTTTTTTCTTGAGTAGTTATAATAGTCCAAGTACATGTATATGAAATAGATATAAACTCAAAAGGTAAATCACCCACAAACCATACATATCATTTAAATTCATATATTTTTGTGCCGTACGAAAATCAAATCTAGGATGTCCGAGTTTCTGGCTCTCTTCCTCGCACAAAAATACAATTAGCCACACTTGACCCTTGAGTGTCACTATAAACCATAACTTCCTCTACATAATCTCTCTAGTGATACACAACATTACTCTATGCAACACCATAAGTTTTACTTCTTGGACAGGAATATTCAATCTTCCCCTTCACATATTCTTCCTCAAAATCACAAGGTTTGTCCTTCCAATCCTTCTAACCATGGTTAGCGGTGTAACAGACTTGGACAAAGTCAGTGTAAACTGGTCGATACGAGTCGCATATCGGACTTGAAAAAGGATTGCGTATCCGATACGGCAAACCATGCTTCCAACTCCAACCCTACAACTTCTCAGGTGGTGACATCTGCTTTGAACTTGTGCAATATTTAGGAACACTAAATTGATCCTCCAATTTTAATTCTAAAACGCCAATTCGATACTTCCAAACCCAACATTATAAAAATTGTCGAGCTACACAGTAATTTGCTCCCACTAGGAACTCGATTGAAAAAGATACAAACAAAAGAATCATTAAAAAAAAAAAAAAAAAAAACGGGGAGAGAGTTTTAGAACAGGCTACACTTCCCTGGGCGGTCTGCGGCTTTGAGAGTCTTGTCGATGAGTTTGCGAGCGTTCCTGCTTCGGATCTCCACCTTCACACTGCAGCTCTTGTTCATCTTCATGTACGGTTTCTTCGACTTCTTCAGAGATCGAACTTTCGACTTGATCGACTGCAACAATTTGTCCAACTGATTAGCCATTTCTCACACGTGTGTATATATTTGTTGTCCTTCAATATTCAACCATTAAATAGACATTATGGACTTTCTAAAGAGAGCTTTATTTTAAAAGATTAATCTACAATACCTACATTTACTGCTGTTCTTAAGGAATCAACAGCAGCTCTGCGTTCAGTTGAGGAGAGCAGAGTCATTCTTATTGGCCCCTTGTTTCCTGGAATATTACTGATTAACCACTGGATGTTATTATCTGAACCTGAATTTTTTTTTTCTCAGGGGTTTGTTTAATAATTTTGGATTCGTTCAAAGAATTAATCAGGCTTAGGAGATAAGGTTGAAAAAGAATTATCAAAAGTAAACCATATTGATTAGATTTATCCGGGAGTAAATGATAACAACCTAAACGACATTGAGAGTTCATTTGGTTTGATGAAAAAAAAGTGAAAGTGAAAGAAAGGAAATTTTTTCTAAGATTCATTTGGTTAACATGAAGTTTTTTTTAAAGAAAATTGTTAGAAAGTCTCATTTCATTGTTTCGATAGCATGAAAGTTAATAGAAAATATCATAATATACCTAAAGTCTCCCTATTTTTATTAAATATAGCAATAGGTCTAAATAAATTTATATTTAATAATTTTTTTATTTTTTTAAAAAATAAAAGCAATATAAGAATTTAAATAATAAAAAATTTGTAGGACACCTTGATAGATATAACTATTATATTATTTTATCAAAGTTATGCATAAACACAATTTATTTTAGAAAGTAAAAAAGGGTATAAATGAAATTTCATAAATTTTTCTCAAGAAAACAAAATTTTCCTTTTCCTTCTATCCAAACTCTTAAAAAGTTTTTAAAAATTCCATTTCTTTTCCTTTCATGCTATTTCAACCTAACCAAACTAAGCCTGAGGAATATTAAAGGATAGCAGCTTCTTGTTGAAATTTTATACATATGAAATTTAAATAAATAAGTCATTTTTTGAACAAATTAAACAAATTCAAAAAGAATAACGGCCTTTCTCCATGAGGTAAAGTTAATAAATTCATAACATGTCTTCCACAAAAAATATGTCATCTATCTCAACTCAGTCCATCACAGCCTTTACTCTAAGAAACATGAGATACAGATAATTACTTAAAAGATACTAGGTATTCGAGAAAAATAATTCAATGAGGCCAAAAGTTTGAGGATATTCCAGAGATGCACAAAAAGGCTTACCTGTAAGCACAACTAAAAATTGGGAAGTCCCTGTGAGTCAGACCATAGCATTAGAGTTGCCAAAAGTGCCATTGTTGCAGTTTCAACTCGCAAGCGATGTGACCCAAGACCAACAGCAGTTGCACCTGCTTCTAATATCAAATTCACCTCTTTCTCAGTGAAGTCTGAAAAATTACAAAACCAACATTATCCCTCTATGAGATGAAACACAACTCCGATTCAAATTTATAAGACATAAAATCTAGAACTATGAATCTCTAATAGCCATCACCCAAAATATAAGATCCCTAGGTTTTAAGAGCCAAGGCATGTTATCACATATTTCTTTACTAATTCTACCCACATTAACTTTGGTCTTTCTCTTTCCCCAGTATTACCCTCAATGTGGACTATGTCACTTTTCCTAAGTGGCGCACTTAAAGGTCATCTTTGCACATATCCAAACCATCTTAACCTATTTTCTTTCATTTTATCTACAATTGGTGCTTCTCCAACCATCTCCAGAACATCATCATTTCTAATTCTATCCTTTTTAGTCTTACAGCGCATCCATCTCAATATTCACATTTCTGCCACTCACTTTATGCAAATGTTGTTTCCTAGTTGCCCGACATTAGGTACCATAAAGTATGGCCGGTCTAATAGCTGTTCTATATTAAATTTAAATAACAAAATCATGCGATTCTCATGTTAAATAAAAACTCAAGAAAACCATCCTAGTATGGTGTTTCAATTTTTCAACATCCACACAGTCAGGAACTATGATCTGAACAATTTTTTGATAAATATTATCTGAAGCGGGGAGGGGGGGGGGGGGGGGGGGGGGGTGCGGTGGGTTAGGAAAATAAACTTTTTTGAGTTTTAGGTCCGGGCCTATGGTCTCTTTAATTAGACTAGGCACATACAGGCTATTGTTTCGAAGGTTTATCCATCAGTTAGACCACTATAAATGGTTCTTGGATAACCAAGTCTACTAATCCCTAGTCTTAGTGAAACTAGCCTTTATGAAGATATTCCAGTTCACTTACTTCATCACAACACCTGCCTGATATGTACAGAAATCTATTTGACCCTATTGCTTGCTTTGAGGGACACGTGACTCCATTCCCTCTCAGATCTCCTAAACTATATTTCTAAGCAGTAAATCTAACCCCAAACCTAACCTAACTTTTACAACATCAAACCTAAACACAAGCAAACCATACTAGCTGTTACAGGGCTAAATTACACTACGAATTTTTGCCTCTGTAATGGCACTTGGGGCCACCAAGTCTCAGCCAACACTACAACACAATTCACACAGTATAGAAATATAAAGAAGGCACACACATTTTACAGGGACAAGCCCCAACCTTTGCTCATATTAAACATATTACAAAGGAACATAAGTTCGTACAAGGAACCAAGGCTCACACCCTCTTCTCTATTCCCTCTACAAAGCCCGCCTTAGCATTATATAGGCCACTCTCAAAACCGCTCATAACTGTCCACTAAGATGATGGATGACACCCCCATCCACCTAGGGTCGTGCTGGCACCCTTTAGATGTGCCAGCACTATAATGCAGTTGACAAGCCCAACTGCTAGACTTGTTGGCATGTTCTGCTCATGCCACATAACCACAAGAAGTTACATTCTGCATAGTGGAAGAAACCACCCTTAACCGCCTGTGTGTTGGTCCTCTCAGAATTGTGCCACATGCTTGGGAGGTTACTCAGCACTCCCCCACTTCCCATGATGAGTGAGAAGCGCTACTAACTTCCCCCAACCGATCGAGCCCACTAAGCCACCACCTCTTGTAACCGCAAGCCATGACTTTGTGTTGTCTATGCTCTAGCCACATCTGAGTCAACCTTGTGAACCTAGCCCAAGCCAAGTCCACCAATCTGCACCCACATAAATATGTCTCTGAGTGCACGGCATGCCAAGCCATGCACGCCCGTGCGCACGCTCGGGTGCATGCCAAAGTGCACGCCGGCGCACACACTAGTGCCCTTCTACGCGCGCCATGTTTGAACCCTCATGCCTCCGTGGCTGTACACCCGCCTGGACGCCCGTGCGCACGCCGAGCTAGACGCTCGCACACACTAGGTTGGACGCCTGCCCGCGCGCCCACCTGCGGTGGGTTAGGAAAATAAACTTTTTTGAGTTTTAGGTCCGGGCCTATGGTCTCTTTAATTAGACTAGGCACATACAGGCTATTGTTTCGAAGGTTTATCCATCAGTTAGACCACTATAAATGGTTCTTGGATAACCAAGTCTACTAATCCCTAGTCTTAGTGAAACTAGCCTTTATGAAGATATTCCAGTTCACTTACTTCATCACAACACCTGCCTGATATGTACAGAAATCTATTTGACCCTATTGCTTGCTTTGAGGGACACGTGACTCCATTCCCTCTCAGATCTCCTAAACTATATTTCTAAGCAGTAAATCTAACCCCAAACCTAACCTAACTTTTACAACATCAAACCTAAACACAAGCAAACCATACTAGCTGTTACAGGGCTAAATTACACTACGAATTTTTGCCTCTGTAATGGCACTTGGGGCCACCAAGTCTCAGCCAACACTACAACACAATTCACACAGTATAGAAATATAAAGAAGGCACACACATTTTACAGGGACAAGCCCCAACCTTTGCTCATATTAAACATATTACAAAGGAACATAAGTTCGTACAAGGAACCAAGGCTCACACCCTCTTCTCTATTCCCTCTACAAAGCCCGCCTTAGCATTATATAGGCCACTCTCAAAACCGCTCATAACTGTCCACTAAGATGATGGATGACACCCCCATCCACCTAGGGTCGTGCTGGCACCCTCTAGATGTGCCAGCACTATAATGCAGTTGACAAGCCCAACTGCTAGACTTGTTGGCATGTTCTGCTCATGCCACATAACCACAAGAAGTTACATTCTGCATAGTGGAAGAAACCACCCTTAACCGCCTGTGTGTTGGTCCTCTCAGAATTGTGCCACATGCTTGGGAGGTTACTCAGCACTCCCCCACTTCCCATGATGAGTGAGAAGCGCTACTAACTTCCCCCAACCGATCGAGCCCACTAAGCCACCACCTCTTGTAACCGCAAGCCATGACTTTGTGTTGTCTATGCTCTAGCCACATCTGAGTCAACCTTGTGAACCTAGCCCAAGCCAAGTCCACCAATCTGCACCCACATAAATATGTCTCTGAGTGCACGGCATGCCAAGCCATGCACGCCCGTGCGCACGCTCGGGTGCATGCCAAAGTGCACGCCGGCGCACACACTAGTGCCCTTCTACGCGCGCCATGTTTGAACCCTCATGCCTCCGTGGCTGTACACCCGCCTGGACGCCCGTGCGCACGCCGAGCTAGACGCTCGCACACACTAGGTTGGACGCCTGCCCGCGCGCCCACCTGCGGTGGGTTAGGAAAATAAACTTTTTTGAGTTTTAGGTCCGGGCCTATGGTCTCTTTAATTAGACTAGGCACATACAGGCTATTGTTTCGAAGGTTTATCCATCAGTTAGACCACTATAAATGGTTCTTGGATAACCAAGTCTACTAATCCCTAGTCTTAGTGAAACTAGCCTTTATGAAGATATTCCAGTTCACTTACTTCATCACAACACCTGCCTGATATGTACAGAAATCTATTTGACCCTATTGCTTGCTTTGAGGGACACGTGACTCCATTCCCTCTCAGATCTCCTAAACTATATTTCTAAGCAGTAAATCTAACCCCAAACCTAACCTAACTTTTACAACATCAAACCTAAACACAAGCAAACCATACTAGCTGTTACAGGGCTAAATTACACTACGAATTTTTGCCTCTGTAATGGCACTTGGGGCCACCAAGTCTCAGCCAACACTACAACACAATTCACACAGTATAGAAATATAAAGAAGGCACACACATTTTACAGGGACAAGCCCCAACCTTTGCTCATATTAAACATATTACAAAGGAACATAAGTTCGTACAAGGAACCAAGGCTCACACCCTCTTCTCTATTCCCTCTACAAAGCCCGCCTTAGCATTATATAGGCCACTCTCAAAACCGCTCATAACTGCCCACTAAGATGATGGATGACACCCCCATCCACCTAGGGTCGTGCTGGCACCCTCTAGATGTGCCAGCACTATAATGCAGTTGACAAGCCCAACTGCTAGACTTGTTGGCATGTTCTGCTCATGCCACATAACCACAAGAAGTTACATTCTGCATAGTGGAAGAAACCACCCTTAACCGCCTGTGTGTTGGTCCTCTCAGAATTGTGCCACATGCTTGGGAGGTTACTCAGCACTCCCCCACTTCCCATGATGAGTGAGAAGCGCTACTAACTTCCCCCAACCGATCGAGCCCACTAAGCCACCACCTCTTGTAACCGCAAGCCATGACTTTGTGTTGTCTATGCTCTAGCCACATCTGAGTCAACCTTGTGAACCTAGCCCAAGCCAAGTCCACCAATCTGCACCCACATATATATGTCTCTGAGTGCACGGCATGCCAAGCCATGCACGCCCGTGCGCACGCTCGGGTGCATGCCAAAGTGCACGCCGGCGCACACACTAGTGCCCTTCTACGCGCGCCATGTTTGAACCCTCATGCCTCCGTGGCTGTACACCCGCCTGGACGCCCGTGCGCACGCCGAGCTAGACGCTCGCACACACTAGGTTGGACGCCTGCCCGCGCGCCCACCTGCGGTGGGTTAGGAAAATAAACTTTTTTGAGTTTTAGGTCCGGGCCTATGGTCTCTTTAATTAGACTAGGCACATACAGGCTATTCTTTCGAAGGTTTATCCATCAGTTAGACCACTATAAATGGTTCTTGGATAACCAAGTCTACTAATCCCTAGTCTTAGTGAAACTAGCCTTTATGAAGATATTCCAGTTCACTTACTTCATCACAACACCTGCCTGATATGTACAGAAATCTATTTGACCCTATTGCTTGCTTTAAGGGACACGTGACTCCATTCCCTCTCAGATCTCCTAAACTATATTTCTAAGCAGTAAATCTAACCCCAAACCTAACCTAACTTTTACAACATCAAACCTAAACACAAGCAAACCATACTAGCTGTTACAGGGCTAAATTACACTACGAATTTTTGCCTCTGTAATGGCACTTGGGGCCACCAAGTCTCAGCCAACACTACAACACAATTCACACAGTATAGAAATACAAAGAAGGCACACACATTTTACAGGGACAAGCCACAACCTTTGCTCATATTAAACATATTACAAAGGAACATAAGTTCGTACAAGGAACCAAGGCTCACACCCTCTTCTCTATTCCCTCTACAAAGCCCGCCTTAGCATTATATAGGCCACTCTCAAAACCGCTCATAACTGCCCACTAAGATGATGGATGACACCCCCATCCACCTAGGGTCGTGCTGGCACCCTCTAGATGTGCCAGCACTATAATGCAGTTGACAAGCCCAACTGCTAGACTTGTTGGCATGTTCTGCTCATGCCACATAACCACAAGAAGTTACATTCTGCATAGTGGAAGAAACCACCCTTAACCGCCTGTGTGTTGGTCCTCTCAGAATTGTGCCACATGCTTGGGAGGTTACTCAGCACTCCCCCACTTCCCATGATGAGTGAGAAGCGCTACTAACTTCCCCCAACCGATCGAGCCCACTAAGCCACCACCTCTTGTAACCGCAAGCCATGACTTTGTGTTGTCTATGCTCTAGCCACATCTGAGTCAACCTTGTGAACCTAGCCCAAGCCAAGTCCACCAATCTGCACCCACATATATATGTCTCTGAGTGCACGGCATGCCAAGCCATGCACGCCCGTGCGCACGCTCGGGTGCATGCCAAAGTGCACGCCGGCGCACACACTAGTGCCCTTCTACGCGCGCCATGTTTGATCCCTCATGCCTCCGTGGCTGTACACCCGCCTGGACGCCCGTGCGCACGCCGAGCTAGACGCTCGCACACACTAGGTTGGACGCCTGCCCGCGCGCCCACCTGCACGCCCGCACACGAGCCGCTGCACACCAGCGCGCGTGTCGGTGCTCACTTGTTTGCCCATATATATCTTGGATGCTCCCCACTTGTGCAACCATCTTGGAGTGGTACAACACATACCCATGCACGTTGGCTAAGCCCTCTAAGCAAGCCATGCCATAGCCTGACCGATGTGCTCAACAGACTCCTCCCTAGTATAGTCTTAAGGAAATCCAGCACTCTGACAGGAGTAAACATCACCCATACTTGAGGAGTCATAATGGCCTTTCAAGCCTTTCCCGACATCCAAATTGAGTGCCGTCTGCGCCAACCAGCTTCTATGGACTCAAGGTACCTCCCATAAAGATCCCAAGTCAAAACTCCAAGTTTCACTTTTCGCCATATTTACGAAAGTGCCACTGGGCACCCCCAGTGCACGCCGAACATCCTTTTAAGCATCTTGTGTGCACGCTGAGCATCTTGTGCACGCTGACAACCCACTGAGCATCCTCATGGCTGTCTAACCAAAGCCAAAGTATTCCCAAGACATGGCATGGCCTTGAAATGCCCATGTCTTCCCTTGGACAACCGTCAAGGGGCTAACACTAGCCTAGATCTAAGGCAAAAGCTAAACTACTAAACTTTTGCATCTGATTGGTAAACATTCTACATCATAAAGAATGCCCATTTCATTATAATTAAAATATACAAATGCACTCTTTAATAGATTTGCATTAGAACCCATTTCACTGTCATACTATTTTCCTTTGATTTAATGAGGTTTTATTAATGTATAAGCTGATTCCTTGATTATGTTCAGACCATCATTTGACCTACATCCCGGATATTCATCCAAATTAAAAGCTTAAATGCTCCAACATTCCAAATATTCATCCAAATTAAAAACTTAAATGCTCCAACATTCCACATTTATTCTACAATATTTCTCAGATTTCAACAATTTTTTAACTTCTGTGTGTGTGTGTGTGTGTGTAAATATATATATAAGCATTTTATTAGGCAAAGTGCACTGGACACTCCTTAAGAGTTGTTGCAACATGGACCCCACAACTATTAAACGTTGCAATTAAGCCCTCAAACTTACAAAAAGTCTCACATTGCACCCCTGGGACTGACGCCACTCGCCAGTTTTATTTTGCCGTCGAGAGATTCAAAATTACAAAAAAAAACCCTTCCTAGCTAAAAAAAAAAACTCAAAACGATCTTTTAGCCCTCAAACATTAAAATACACCCTGAAATAACTCCATCCACGGGATTGATTCAATTAGAGGAATCCATCAAACAGCCTTCTAATAATTCTTTTGAAATATTTCCTGAAACAAATGAAGCCTTAGAGACTGAAATCTCAAATACTTTTAGGGCATGTTTGGTTCGCAGGAATGGAATGAGGCAGGAATGGAATGCAAGTGGGAATGGAATGGGAATGATGCAGGAATGGAATGATGATTCTCATTCCACTGTTTGGCTACAAATAGAGAATGATGCAGTAGTGGAATGACCATTCCCATTCCCCTATTTGGTCAGACCAATTAATAAGCTGGAATGGAATAACTTTTAAATTAGTTTCTCCAAAATACCTTTACTTATAATATATCAATTATATTAACGAAATTACATATTTTATTATTTTAACATGGAATAAAATATAACTAGCTTATACCAACTAATGCATTTTTGTAAAATCTATGAAAATTATAATTATCTTACAAAATGTAAGAAAAATGTACGAATATCTTGAGTTCAAGAAAATCTATTAAAAATTGCTTTTATTTATTGTGAACTCATCATATTAGAGCCCTAAAAAATAATTACTTTTTTGATGAGTAATGAAGTTTGTAGCAATTTTGAAAGGCTTTGAAAGAGCAGTTACCTTTTTTGAAAGAAATATACTGGGCAATAATAAAACACTGGGCAGTTACCTTTTTTGAAAGAAATATACTGGGCAATAATGAAGGCAAATGGTATTTTTTGTCTTTGACTTTTTTTATTTTATTATTAGTGGGAATGAATGGGAATGGAATGGTCATTCCACGTCTCAAGAAGAGGAATGGGCATTCCACCTTTTTTATGGAATGAGCATTCCCTGGGAATGCCTTGAAATGGCCATTCCACATTTAATGTGGCACACCAAACAAGAGAATGGAAACAAAAGCATTCCATTCCGGCTTCATTTGATTCCATTCACTCACACCAAACATGGCCTTAGAGTCAATGTGATTTCTAAGGGCTAAGGCCTTGCTATTTGTTACTCCTATTGTCTGTTCTCCTGTTCTGCATATCTATCAAATATATTCTCATTAACTCATTTCTATAATTCACATAGAGCATAAAAAATTTAAAAATGACAATTTAAAATCAACTCCCATATACAAACTTTGGTTCCTAATTACTCTGGTTTGTGGTGAAGACTAATTACCCAAACTTTACACTAATACCAATCAAAACATCAAATAAAACAAGTGTTATTCTGTTCAGACATATCCTAGTTTGGCATATATACATGGCACAGAGAATTAATAGAGAGACGGGAGAGAAAAAGAGACTAACATATCATATACTAACCCCCTTCCGGTCCAATTATTATTAACCCACTTGAATCTTTTCTAGAGGAAGACAATGCATTAACAACAGGAGTAGCCTCTGCTACAGCCACAAAAGAGAGCTTTGACTGCGTGACCTAGAGCATACAAAATAATGCATGTAAGTCTTACAAACATTCTAGGCACAAACCTCCCAACAAATTTCATTATGACAAGAAAGCCAAATAAATTATATACATCACGTATGATACAATAACATTTTACCATCATTTTTCTATGAACAGAACCAGAACATTTTCAAACCTCCTAAACAAATAAAGAGGAAGAGTAACTCACAATAGGTAAAAGACCACCAACTTTTGTAGGAGGATTCAAAGTCATTTCATGAAGCCTTTGACCTATAACAGAGATTTAACATTTAGAGAACAATAACAATAATCAAAATTCAGAAAACAATAATAATAACTGCAGACAAGTACTCATCCATCAATCTAAACCACATTTGAACTGTGTAGATGGCATCTCCATATCCCAATGCATAATAACTAATAGCAGGAGAAATCAGGTGACACTAAACCAAATCCAGAAACTTCAAGTGGGAGAAAATAAAAATAGAACAAACAATTTACATTGTTTAGCTGCAGCTAGATTAACACGTTGCAGTCTGTCCATCCGATTTTCAGAGATTAAAGGAGAACGTACAGTCAGCAGAGGCGTTACACTAGCAGCTCCCAGCTCCTAAGATAAGAACAGAACAAAAGAGAGGCAAAGAATAAATTCACAATTAGAATTTAGACAAAAGTATAATCCCCATAAATACATCTAGACATACTGTGCATTTCTCAACGAGCCAGTCAGCTCGACCACCCTTCAATGTACCTAATAACAGGCACAAAACACGATGTTATTCTTTGCTTTGGAAGAACAAAATAATTTTGTATCCTTTCATGGTATTAAACTCACCAAAAGCTGCAAATACATGCCACTGTGTGGTCTGGGGTGGAACTAGTTTCAGATCTTCAAGTGCCACAATATCCGCTCCAGAGCGATCAACACTCTGTATGCACCCTTCAATTAACCCTCCTTTCCCATTGAAGAGCTCTACCCTTGCATGTCATGACGAGGAAGATCATCGATACAATAGAAGCTTTGAGCTAAAATACATTTGAAGCACACAAGATGTGACTGAATGCTCAAATGTTTAACTAACACTTCCAAGTCATAATATAGTAATATGTCACCCTGACTATGATGCAACATATATGTTTAGCATTTTCACAATATCTTTGATCGGATAGCTTGCATTTGATTCCAGCTTTTAGACAGGATTCAGTAAACAAAACAAAGTAAGTTTCACTGAGAAGTCGGAGAAATAAAGAGTACCTATCACTTGTGCTTAACCTTAGAACTTTAGTCATATGCCAAAATTCATCACCTTGTACGCGAACAACACCATCCTGATTTGTTAAACAAAATAATAAGCTTATGCATCCAACCAAGCCTAAACCAAAGAATGAGGTACGCAATATATAATAAAAAATTAAAAATAAAAACGTTTCGTATATTCACTTATAAAGAAGTATTATGACTCTTCATTTTCCGTCCAGACGTGTAACATTTGGAACTCCACTATCAAATAAAATGGCAGGTAAATATCTTAACAAACGGAAGACCTCCCTTTTTTCCTTTTGTGTTCCTAAACTACAACTTCAAGTTTATTCAATCAAATTGAGTTTTTGAAAACTTGATCTACAAAATGGAGTCTACCAGAAGGTGGACTGTTCCACATCTCCAACCTTCCTAACCCAGGCATGGCAACATTTTAGCAGTCAATAAAGTCTCCTTCCAACACAATTGAAACCCATATAATTGAAAACCCAAAACCCTGGACCCAAATTTGTATCTATTTAACGAGTGTGTTCCTAACGCATACAATCACTATGAAATTACAAATCTAGTTTACATACTTTTCTTCACCAAGATATAAACACACACAAACACCTACAAACCCTCAAATGTAAGTTTAAATTCATACCATTGACCTATGATAGTTAAATTCAGTAACGACAAAACGTAATGTTCCAATTAAGAGAGCCAATGAAGGACAAAATGACGATGAACCGAGGCTCCCATATCAATTTTGGCTTGGTCTATCTTAGTTTTTCACCTTTTGTCGACCAATTTTTATTTTTATTTTTATTTTTTTCTCGGTAAATGTTTGGTAAGCCAAGATTACAACAAACATGGCATTCAAAACTTATGTTCTGTGCTCTTCCTAAGTTTCACCCCTGACACTAAACAGAGAATACATAGAATCTCCAGATGAACTCTATTGAACTACAAGATTAAAAATAAAAATAAAAATAAAAATATATACATAAAAACATACATACATACATATATATATAGAGAGAGAGAGAGAGAGTGTGTGCCTTGGAAGGAGGGAGGACTTCGGAGAAGAACCGAGGAAGACCACCACGGGACTGGTTGGAGTAATCTGAAGAAGATGATGATGATGATGAAAATGCGCGTAGGGTGGAGGCCTTTCGCCATGAACGGTTCAAAAGGCCTGTAAAATGAGGTCGTAAAACTAGGGTTTGCATTGTCCTTCACGAGCCCTGCAATTCCAGCATCATAAACCCTAACGAAGTGTTTTTGGGGAGTTTTGGAGAGGTTCTAAAAGGACTTCCAGTTCATAAAAAAAAGTCCTTTATTATGTGGGTGTGGTCAGGCAATAAAAGCAGTTTAAGTACAAACGAAAGCACACTCGAGGAAAGGCCAATCTTCAAAAGTCATTCAAGGGAAGCCCCTAAAACTAGGTTTGCGAAATGAGGTTCCTATTTTGGCCAATGTGGTATTTCTTAAGAAGGACTTACCAAAATGAAGAAAATAGTAAGAATGTTTACTAATACATGGAGTTTTCTCCTCCTAATAACTGTAACATGGAATCAGAAAGCCCCTTTTTCAACAGCATGAACTTTTTGTCGAAAATTTACCAAGACATCAAAATATACTAATTTTTTATTTTTGTTATTATTACTGTTATTTTAAAGGGAAAATTACATATACATGGAGTCAAAGTTCCATATTTACTTAGAGACTGAGTCAAAGTTTCATATTTCTCTAAAATGGATTACTGAGGTGGCACATGGTTTTTTACTGTTTAGAAAATTGTGGTGCCTAAAATGCCCTTTCCTAACAAAAAAGTAGTACCTTCAGTGCAAAAAAATAGTACCTTCAGTTCAAAAAAGTAGTACCTTCAGAGAAAAAGTAGTACCTTCGCGGGTGTTTAAAAAACATGGTACCTGGACGCCAAAAAGTAGTACCTTCAGTTCAAAAAAGTAGTACCTTCGAAGAAAAAGTAGTACCTTCGTGGAAGGGTATTTTAGGCACCACAATTTCTAAACAGTAAAAAACCATGTGCCACCTCAGCAATCCATTTTAGAGAAATATGAAATTTTGACTCAGCCTCTAAGTAAATATGGAACTTTGACTCCATTTATATGTAATTTTCCCTATTTTAAACCTTAGCAACGCGTAGACACCCATTTTGTGTCACTTGAACATCGGCTTCTATTAGAAATGCCATAAACTACCCTCGCCTGTTTGATTTCTTAATTCAGTTCTAAATGCAGAATATGATAAGTAATTTTTAAAAATAAGTTTGTTTGATAAAATTTTTAAACACCACTTAATATGGTAAGTACCATTTAAAAAAGGCCAAAATTTTAAGTGCAGAGAATATTAGTTATTGCTTATTGCAGAAGATGGTAAGTGGTTGGTTAGGTTTAAAAAATAACTTTTTAGTGACTACTCTGCCATCATATAATTGTGTTCTCTCTTTTTAGGGTTTCTTTTTAAACACGTATATAGCCTTTTGGTTACCGTTTATATATAAAACAATTATTTGTATAACATAATTCTATTCAATATCACGTACTTTCTTTAATATTTTTAACACTATTTTTATACTCTACCTAAATATTATATAATTATTTATATAATAGAATTCTATTCTCTTAGAAGTACTTTCTTAACACTATTTTCACTTTTCAATACTCTACCATGTAATCCAAAACCCATATATTTTAAATTTTAGTAACATTCTTTTTTATATCCAAAACCTATATATTTTAAATTTTTATTAATTATTTATATTGATGAGCGCTGAAAAGTGCGCTTTTAAACCCCTTAAGCTCGAGTATTCTAGGACTTTTATCTATCTTATTTTCCTGTTTTAAACTAATTTTGTGTTATTTCCCTCTTTAGGCCAATAATGTTAAAACATGCTAAAAATGGTTTCTTAAGACTTTTTTGGAGTCAAACTAAGTCTTGGAGAGATTCTGGAGCAAAAGAAGGCTTATTTGGAGCAAAAAGGAAGCTAATGCTGAAAACTGCCAAGTGAGATAAATCGCAGAAAAGTGAGATTGATCAGAGTCGGATCGATCGAACCCAGATCGATCAAAAGTTGGATCGATCGAACAAACTCTGATCGAACGAAGAAAAGTCTGATCGATCGAAAATGTGCTGACAGTGAGCTGTCTAATTCCCGAGCACGCCAATTTCTACCTACCACATAGTTGCGCGATTACATATTTTTGGGCTATATTTCTATGATACCCCTCGGATCCGAGACGCGGGTTGATCAGGCCCAAGCCCAAACCCGAGGAATATCAAACAATCAATATGTAACCGAACACAGAATACAAGATGAAATAAGAAATAAAATAATAAACTGAAGGAATACTAATTGAAAATCCTTAAAATAAAATTATTCAAATCTGATAATCCAAAACTCCATAGGTTTAACAACTCGGGAATCCAGCTAGTGGACCCCTAATAAAAATCCCAACTGTAAATGAAAATACTGAAATAAAATCCAAAGCTAAAAAGCAAGCAGCCCTACGTAATCGATGAAATAGAAGTCTGTATCTGCTCTGCACGACCAAGCTCTAACCCTGGAACTGACGAGTACCTGAAAAATAAAAGAGTGGGTCAGGCCCACATACAAGTCCTGATCTACTACGATCCAAACAGGAATCCGATAAGCAGATACATTCTAAATAGACTCAACAATATCTAGAATAGTCCATATATGTATATATTACACACTATAGGACGCTCACTAATCCAATAGGTCTGTCTCAGCCTGAGTAGAGATACCATACAAATCGCACATTTACGTGGTCATGTATACCTAGACCTACCAAGGAACAACAACTATTGTCCAGCTATCCATCCTAAGCGATATACGCGCCCTAACCACGGTCCTAAAACTCAAGCTCATACCATGGCACCATATAAATAATATATATAAAGTCCGTACTCCTAATACAAAATATCATCCATCTGTATAGTGGTCTAATACATGTATCACAACTCCATCCAGAAACCACAGTAGGTCATTCAATTATTTGATTGACATGACATAAGTAGGTGATGGACTTAACCTATATGATTAATCCATACCTTAATCCAAGTTAGGTAGAACTTAGGGTTTGAACTAGTCCATACCTAGTATGTCACCGTCCCATACCGGTACATACATTCCTCCGGTTAACATAGTTGACAATACAGTATTAAATAGTCATCAACCATAATATGCACAAGATAAATTAATCCATATACATAAATATTAAGCATTAAATACAGAGCCTAAAATTCAATTCCAATAATGTAAACTGCTATATTAAATTCAAGCATTCACATCCTCCAACATAGTCCATGAATTGATACAGTTAATAAAAATTTAATTATCAATTAAATCCAACTAAGCTTGGTTAAATAAAATTAATTCACCATCCTTAAAATACTGAACTAATATATGATTATATATAATTAAATTATATATAAAAACCTTACTCAGTTCCAGTAAATAAAACTAATAAAACAGAGAGCAAACTACCCATCTTCTCTTAGGTTCATCTTGCTCTAATCTTTAATCCAGCTATGAATTTATATTTTTTCATCATAAAACCAACCTTGAACAGTCCCACACATCATTTAAAATAATTTAAATTAATTGCAGAAACTCTGAAAATCAAACAGTTTTAACAAAAATGCACGTTACAGTGCTTTTCAAGAAGAGCAGGCTCTAGAAAAATGAGAGCCTGCTCTATGTTTGCACCTAGAGCCGGCTCTAGGTTCTTGGAGCCGGCTCCATGACACCAAGAGCCGGCTCTCCCCTTTGAGAGCTGTAATACCCCTAAATTTAAAAAGAATATAATTGGAATTTTGTTTATTATTTTTTTTTTTTAGTGTTTAATATGCAGTTTTGGATTGATTTTTGTGGCTATGTGCTTATATGTCAAATTGTTTGTTTATCTTAATTAATTTTTTTTATTCTTTATTTGATTTAATTATTTTATTCTTTAATTTGATTTAATTGTTATTTGGGTATTTGAATTGTTTTGTTTGGTCAATTATTCTATGTAATGTAATTGAGATTTTAATTAATTGGTTAATTGGATTTTTGTTTATATTTAATTAAATTAGTTTTGATTGTTTTAAATGAGTTAATTAAGTTGTTAAATTAGGATTTTAGGGTTAGGGATCGTGTATTTGGCCGACTAGGGTTTAGTTGGGTTTCCATCTCTTAATATAAGTAGATGTAGGTTTTTATATGCCTATATATATACTGTTATAAGTCTGCTTAGAGTTGTAAGCACAAACCCTATTCACGAATAGTGAAAATACAGAGAGTTTAGAGTGAAAACAGAGAGAGGTTATGAAGAAAAAATAGAGCAACGTCAGAGAAGGTTTTGGCCTTGGCTTAAAGGTCAGACCTAGGAGGAGGAAGGTTGAGCAGTAGGAGGTAGAGTTGACAGTGAACGGAAGTCGTCGGAAAAACCTAGGAAGACGGCGACAGGTTTTTATTCAAAAACCACAGAGGCAAGTTCTTTTCTTTCTCCTTCCCTTTGGCTTGTATTCTATGCACCTAGGTAGTCTTTAGGGTTTAATTAATCAGTAACTAGAATTTACATGTTTAATATATGTTATATTGATGATCTGTTTGTGTTGAAATCAAATCTGTTACAATTCGTGCATGTCTGTTTTAGTTTTGTTTTCTTAAAGCATGTAAATTCTGTTGGAAATTTAGTTACTGTATTTTCTTTCAACAACTATAAACGAACGATTGGGATGATACTTGGATTAGATAAGACTCCTAAGTTTAGTAGTGAAGAGGAACAGAGGGGTTGGAATGGAACTGTTGTTGCAAAAATAGTTTCAGTTTTGTTCCTAAAGCATGTTTAATTCGGTAGCAAATTAAACCTCTATAATTGTTTCCAGTTGTGTTATCAAACCATTATCAGGCTTCTTAGTATTAATAGGACCCTTAGGATCAGTTTTAGAAACCAACTGAAGGGTAGAAATAGGCCGGAGAAGAAGCAGAAGGTCGAAAATGGAACAAACGGAGGTTGGAAGCTCTCAAAAGGGGTGAGAGCCAACTCCATTAAAGTAGGAGCCGGCTCCCACACATGTAGAGCCGGCTCTAAGACTTCTAAAGCAGGCTCCAGGCTCAAAAGAGCCTGCTCTTTAAAATTTAGAGCAGGCTCTCTTCAATAGTACACTTCTGATTTTTTTTTTTTTAAGAACTGTTTGATACTTTGGAGCATGGAAATGATTCTGCTGATTCTGGGGTTTCACAGAAGGATTAGAAGGCTGGTTTTGGGTGTTATTAAATCCTTAAATTGAGTAAGGTTGACCTCTAAGGGAATGGAATTAATAGTGCGCTATTTAACAACTTTGCGTGCGGTTAACGGCTGGAGGGAGATTTATTATCTAGTTTTAATTTGACAATTTAAGGTGCTAAAACATGATTCTAAATTAAGTTTTAGA